TTTGTTTGTGTTTGCAAAGTAGTTTTTTCCTTTTTAATGAGCCAATCTTTACACTTTACAGACGTGTAAAGTATATTCTACCCTCTTATTGTAATTCAACAGAAATTATACCTCACACTGATCACTTTTGTTGTTTGGATCAGCATATCTAGTGTTTTACAGAAATGTGACTCATGGTTTCTCCACTGCATGTTTACTTGTTTGTTTATATGTTGTCTATATACTCTGGTGCATAATTGCCCGGCCCAGTGAGACACATAAAACAAAAGGGGAAACATTTGTGATAGCCAAATAACAGCTCATTTTTCCAGTGAACGTAATGGTCAAAACAAGAAATAAAGGCCGCTGCTGTTCCCCCCCCCCTTTTTTTTTTTTTTACAGCAACACAAACATCAGTCAACGGGAACCAAAGTTAGCTTTGTTTCATGACTGTCCATTACTGCTCAATTATTCTCATATGGAGAGACAAAAAGAAAACAAGCTTAAAATTTTTGGCAAAGAGGCTTTTGTGAGTTGAGACATCAAGGCTTCAAGGAAGTCGTTCAGAAGGCTGAGTCAAAAAGTCATCAGAAGGGGAGAGTGGAGAAAGGTTTGGGTGTAGTTACATGAACGCGGGTTGGCCTCGTTGGATGACAAATTGTACGGTACTGGGACGGGACGGTTCAGCCAGCTGGTTGGCCCCATCGCTGGGTTGATTGATGGTGTTGATGTTCTAAATCGCCCGCCAACACGCCGAGTACAGGACTCGTAATAGCGCAGCCTTAGATTGGCCCTGGAGATAGCAGGAAGTGGACGGGGGTATATGAGGGAAGGGGGGGGGGGGGGGACTGGAAGGGAAAAGGACACGTTCCCATGCAAGCATATGAGATATAGATCCATTAGACTTTGAATTCTAAATACAGCCAACTAAGCTAAAGTTCTAACGAGAAAGGACATATTTTCTGAAAACCTATTAGATGGTATACAAGCTGTGAATTGTTTTAGTCCCTATCACTTAGGGATCACCCTCAGCTCACTTCCAGTGTCAGGAAAACCCATGCAGGGTCATCATCGCTTGGACAAAAAAGCCTAGGGTCAAGGTTCAATCATTACTGTCAGTAGAGGTCGAAGCCACTGCTCTCATGTCCACAGTTATCTGACCAATGTGCCAACAAACCAGGAGAGGGTAAGAGGAGAAGAAGCAGTGGTGGGAAAGAGAAAACAGAACTTCCCCTTAATTGTAACAGGAACCCCTTTATCATAGTTTGACTGAATAACACATGCTACCTTTGATCGAGAGCAAGGCAGTCTGAGATCGTGTAGGACGCTTTCAGATCTCGACACACGCAAAGGGGAAACACAGGGCAATCTGAGGAGTGGGGGGGGGTTTACTGGAGTTTTTTTCCACCATCACTGTGGGACAAAAGGGAAAATTTTTAGAGAATTTCAATTGTGTTCAAGTCCTTTTACACAAAGTTGGCTGTTAATTTCCTTTTTTTAAATGGTCCTCCCCACCTGCTTGTAAGAAGGGACAGTCACCCTCTTTTACTGACTGTTTTTATTTGACTGTTTGTCCAGCTTTCCAGTCAACATTTAGAATTTGTGGCTCTTTTCATTTACTGAGCGGTAGGATTATTGAATGTCTTTGTAAAGATATTTTTAGGCAGTCCATAAACATTTCTGATTTATTCATACCCTTTACGCTGACATATGAATCATTCAGAAACAAGACATTTTACCTAACTCAAGGGATCAATTATTGTTTTGTCTGAAAATAACAGACAGAATTTTCATTTGTATGTTTAAGCAATTTGTAACTGGTCTTGTTGGAAAAACAGAACTTTAGGTCTAATATCTAAGCTTACATCTACAGAATTGTCCAAAGATAGCGCATTTCAACAATGATAAATTATGATTTCGTAAATTAAGGATTATGCAACCGCTAAGTTTTCTATTGGCTATTTGCCTAGTTCTTGTTGAACAAGGTTTTAAGTAGCTGTTGATGTGCTATGATATTAAACCTTGGTCTCTTTTTTTTAACCATTTTTTTTTTAAATCATACTGCAATGGGGGTGGGGATTCCTGTGTGGGCCCCTTTCAGGCACCTTTGATCTGGGGGTCCCTTTAGGCATCTTGAGTTTTGGGTGCTTGGATCTGGTTACTTACATACTCATCAATTTTTATCTTCAGCTACCACTTTATGCATTCCGTATTGTTTATACTGTATGTTGCTGTATAGTATCTGTAGTTCTAGATCAGTTGGTTATGCAGTTTTTTGCATCTCTTTGCAGGTGATGAAGCAGACTGATGAAGCTTTGTTTGTATCTGTCTTTTCTTCTCTTTTTTCACCTTTTCTCCCTTTTATGCTAGTGTCCACATAACTTGAATTATTCCATATACATAAACCATAATACAACTATTTACATATATAAATAAAGTAGAGCAGGCAACCCCAACCTCGGTCCTCGAGGCCTGCTGTCCTGCAGGTTTCCCTGCTTTAGCACAGCTGATTATAATGATTGCAATAGACCAAAAGCCTGTTAATCAGCTTTCAATTACAATCAGCTGTGCTGGAGCAAAGAAACCTCTAAAACCTGCAGGACAGCGGCCCTCGAGGACCGAGGTTGGAGAAGGCCTGAAGTAGAGCACTATGGCGAAAACAATAATGCTCCACTTATGAGAGTAAAATCAGTTGGGCTCTTTCTGACAACAATTCCTATTGCCACATTGTCAGAGATGACACATAAAAAAAATATGAAAGGCAGCATAAACCAAATATAGATCAGTGGCAACCATTCACACATATTCGTCATGCACTTGTGATATAACCAATTAAACAGTTCTGGATGTTTTAGAAAAAAGGAAGGGAACTAAAGAGAAAATGTATAATTAATAATGTAAGGACTGTATGAACGTATTGCAAACAAAATAGCAGCTTTGGGGTATGACACCTACCTGAGCAGTAGAGTCTGACATTGTCAGGAGACAAGCGAAAAGCTGTGCAGCACATTTTAATAGATTTGGTTGCAATAATATCAGCGACGTTTTTTTCAATTATCTTTTTTTAAATGAAAAAATCTTTTTTTATTGCTATATTTGAAAAAGAGTACCATAAATAAAAAGCTAAATGCCTGTAAACTTGTATTTTAATCTGTTAGAGATGTGCAAAATTTGGGACTTAACTTTGTACATCCCTGCTGTTCTTAAACCCCATCTAGCAAGTTTGCTTGCTTCCTACTCAGAAAACACTGCTTGTATTTCAGTTCAATCTATTGGTAAAAGTAACAGCAGTGAAAATGTTGCCAATTATTTTTCATTTATTCTTCAAATTCAATTCAATTTTAATTTTTTTGTCAAAAAGATGTCTTGAATCTTGACTGCTTTTCTTTGTTTTTTGGGCTAATTTCCTATGTGCCGCTCCCTGCTCTGTTCTCCTTTGGTAATTAGAATAAGCACATGCAACTGACACTCTCCCAATCACCCACATTATTCTGAGCAGTTACTCAGCCTATTTATACCTGCCTCTCTCAGTTATTCCCTGCCAGAATGTCGCCTCCCAGGTCTTAAAAAGGATTTTTCCAAGTGTTACTGTTCCCTGGCAGCCTTCCTGCCCTCACTGGTTTTTCATTCTAGCATTATTGTGAAAGGCCTACCTTCCTGTGTCCCTGCGCTTGGCTTGCCCTCACTGGGTTCTCATTGGCTTCTGACTCTGGACTGTTTCTGCTTCTCACCAGTTTGCCTTTTTTAAGCCTGCTATTAGTCTGGCTGCCACCATCAGCTAATAATTCGTTGGGTTCTACCTACATCTGCCTCTCTATCCTGCTACCAATTTTCCTGCCAGCTTTCATAAACTTTTATTATTTCACAAACTTTTGATAAACTGTTTAATGCACCTTGTTTTGTTTAAATGCACCGTATTGTGACTAATTTTACATCACTCAAATTCGGTCAACAGTTACTTTGAAACTTTAGCTCTGTAGTTTAAGGTTTTTATTGAATTCTATTAAACCTATTGGGGTAAAAGCTGCTGGATTGATGTTAAACACAAACTTCAATCTTTTTCTTAGTACATGTAGGTATGTAACCATACTGTATAGTTGAATATCAACTATACAGTATGGGACTTGTATTTTCTGTACTAAAAGTATATATATTTGTTGCAATTGTTCTTAAAGATAAGATTAGTTGTATGGATTAAAGATGTACATTCGTGTAAAATACTACAACATCACAGTTAGCTAGGCTGCTTTTTCAGTTGTATTCTGTAATTTTGAGGCAGACACTGCTGGACTGATTTTAACCACCAAGTAGTTTATCTCTTGTCAGAATAAAAACTGAACCAGAGTATGTTTTTTGTGTACTGGATCTAAGAGGAGTAAATGAGAGTAACAGTTGCACACAGACAATGCAAGTCAAAGGATTTGTTAACCCATGCCTGCAAGACATTATTATTGCCATATTTTATATTGTTACAATAAATTTAGCACCTTTTACTTTTTCACCATTTCTTCATTCACCTAGAAGAAGGTAAGGGCAGGTCATAGCATAGTCGAAAATAGCTGTCTGTGAAGAATAGCAAGACTATCAAGTTTAATTTGACCCAATGACAGGTTAGTTTTGCATATTTTTTGTTGTGATAAAAGCATGAGCGTTTTTAGCAGAAAGAAATAACACCACAGGTCCTTTGTGCAACTATCTGTTCCTGCAGTATCTGTCTAAATCTGTCTAACTGTTCAAGTAACAGTCAGGTTATATCTCTTCTCTCCTGGTTTTAATGGATCTTTTTTACTGATACCATACAATATGTGTTCTTAAAAAAGAAATCTTACATATAGATTTTTGTTATTTATTAAATTAGTTTAGTCTCTAGTGTTTCAGTGGCACTAACAGGTCATCTTCAAAGAAACAGCCATGTAAAGCTTGTTCGTGTTCAAGCGACTCCCAGTCTGAACAGTAGAAGCTTCGCACTGTAGTTTAAGAACATTATCCCCCTTTAATCCACTTTGCCTTCTGCTGCATGCAGGTGGACAGACAGCCATATGGAGCTGGGTGGCACAAAAAACAGCATCCCTGCTTCATTGGCCATGTTTATTCATCTCCAAGACAAAACAAACCATTTTGCTTAGAAAACACCTTTACTGAATTGTTTTTATACTCTGTATTAGCTGTGACTAGGCACTACTTTTTCCTCAGCTATGGATGATCCTGACATACGGCAACAGAAGCTAGACAACCAGGTAAAACAAACTAATTATTTATGTTTTTTGGGATTAGTAGTGAACAGCCAAAATCAGTTATTTTTTAGTTGAGTTTGTTGGAATAGTTTTGTTGTATTTTTAGTAAAATAATGTAGCTCTAATGTCTTTGGGTTTTTTTTTTTATAGTCATCTTTGAAAATTCTGTAGCATTTTATGAAAGACCTTTACACAGTCTTCAAACTTGGAATTTCCGTTGGGGATATTTAAATGTTTTATTGTAACTTACAAAACAATTAAGAATTAATCTCTGTAGAGTGTCATTGGTCGTGGCAGTGTACAATCCACCTGCTGTTTAGGCATCTGTTTAAGCTTGATTTATTCCTCAAAACATGATGATATTCCTTTCACAGATCTTTTCAGAAGTATCATAACATTTAATTACATTTTCTTTTCGTTGTTTATACAGCAAACAGCTTTAATGGAACTTAGAAACAGTATTTAAGTTTACAAGTTGGAACCTAATGAGGATTTTCCTTTAATTCAAACATTTTCAGATTTATATATAGCTGTTTACAGATTCATATACACTATAACTATAAACTATAACTATGTATTTGAATTGAGAAAGCTTCCTGGAGAGGTGGCGAAACGTCTTCAAATCTTTAAAAAACCAAGTCCAGTGGATATTTTGTTGAATTTTTATGGTATAACTATAAATACTCATACTAAAAATTGTGTGAGTATGTATACGTCTGAATGAATATTTGATTTTCTTCTCACCAGAGACAGTAAAAATGTATAACTGTATTTGTTTCCTGAATTGACCCAGGCTGTTAAGAACTGTCCATAAGGTGTTAATGCTGTTCAAACCTTAGGTTGTGCAAGATCATTTTTAGCTTGGTTATTCTTTTTAAATCCATCTATAATTCATACTGTTAGATTGACACGATATGTATAGGTTTGAACCATTTAAATGATGCTACAAATAAGGGTGGTTTACTTTCTTATCAAGTGGACCAGAGCAGAAACTTCTGTTTCTTTAAGTCATCATTATAGTTCAATTAAGTTTATTTATATAGCACCAGTTCAGAACACATGTCATCCCAAAGCACTTAACAGAGAGAATTCAGTCGATCATGCAGGCAGCTTGGTTTCAAGTTTTCTGTCTAAGGAAAACCAGCTGGTTTCATTGACTCAACAGCAATCCTTCGCACCATAGATGCATGCAGCTACAGTAGAGAGGAAAAACTCTGTTTTAACAAGAAGAAATCTCTAGCAGAACCAGGGTGAGTGTGAGTGGCCATCTTCCAAGGCTGACTGGGGTTCAAGAAGACAGAAGCCGACGAAGAAAACATAGAAAATAGCATAGGATCAATTATTTACATCATGATAACTGTCATATGCTAAAACCCAGTAGTAAAGTCATCTGTATGCTTCATGGTGCATTCAAGTACATCTCTCACACTGGATAGACTACATATAAAAAAAAACTCTGAAATCCTGTTTTTTTTTCACATTACTGGATAGTAGTAATAAATGTTGTGTGTTATAAAAAAATATTGAATATTTTCAAGTAATTCTATTGTGTCATCCATCCATCCATCCATCCATCCATCCATGAAGGTTGGATTCAATCATGATCACTTGTATTTGTCGCTGTTAACTTAAAAACGTACATAACATTTAAATATTGTAGTCCTTTTGTTGTAATAATTTATGCATTACATTTTTAATTTAATAGATCACTTCTATGCTGTATAAATAAATGTCCATCAAATGTTTATGTTTTTTTCTCACATATAGTTAAGAAAAAGTGGTGAATTTTAAATTGATTGTTCTTTGTTTTTGATCTTTCACTTTAGCGAGCTCTTTTGATGAAAAAGCAGCAAAAGAAGCGGGCAGACACTCAGATGGTGGTGGCCAATAGAGATGCTCGGCAAAAGAATCGAAAGCACAAAACTGTCAATTCAGAAGAAATGCCTCTATTGATCTCTCAGTCCTTGAGCAGCACATCTCTGACTGGTTAGTTATCTTATTTGTTAAAAAATAAAATGTTCCAACTACAAGTAGACATACATCATTGGCAAGATTGTCATATTTATTTATTTTTTGGATATTGATAAAATATTTTATTGTTCTTTTCAGGGACAAAACAGGTCAATTCAAATTTTAAATTAATTTGTAATTTAAATAATTTGAACAAAAGTGGCAGTCTTTTGGCTGTTTTTTTATGGGGTGGCCATTGCACCAAGTGGAATTAAAAATGGCGCTTTAAGTTTTTAAAAAAGATCTGTCTGATATGCCCTTATTTATTGCTTTTATGGAAGAATGATCAATAAAAACTTGACACCCAGTATTTAAGTAGGCATCCCATCCCCACTACTGAACATAATGAGTGTAAGTTATGTGAAATTTCCCGCAGTTTGCTTGCCTGAAGTACAGCAAAATGAATTGTCTGCCTTAAGTTTTATTCACAGAAGCACCACTATGGAAAAAACCCAGAGAGGATCAAAACAATATGCACACAATACATTCATACTCAAAAACGTAATTCAATTCAGTGTTTGTATACAGTGCCAATTCACAACACATGTCATCTCAAGGCACTTTACAGAAACAATTCAACCAGATTGTACAGTCAAACTGATTCATAGTTTTCTATCTAAGGAAAACCAGTTGATTGCATCGACTTATTGACTTGAAAGAAATCCCTCACACCAAGCATGCTTGTAGTAACACTGGAGAGGAAAACTTCCTTTTAACAAGAAGAAACCTCCAACAGACCAAGGGATCTAACTGAACACTTTTAGTAAATGTGCCTTTACAATTACAGATTTTTTTTTTTTTTTTGAAGCAATCAGCCATCCCCTGGCATTATTCAATCCAGATATTCCGCCATTCCTATTGTTGATTTCCTGGCATAAATACCCAGATTTCACTAAGAGTGCATGGACAAGGTGAGGGTTGAGATCCAAACACCCTCTAAATAATATTTTTGTGGTCATTTGAATATGTTTTAAAAAGATTCAGAAAGCTGACTTGAAGTAATCAAGGTAAAGCTTTAGTATGTAAAAACACATTATCAACTATCTAGCATAGTAGTGGCACCATCATGCAGAAGGTCTAACCTAAAATAGAGAGCTATGTGTTTACAACCCTTGATGTTATAAAATCGCACAAAAACACAGGACTGAATTGTAACAGTCAGCTAACATGAAATTTCTCATATATTGATCAACTTACCTTGAACAAAGTATAAAACCAGGAACATGCCTGGAAACGAACTGATTTAAATCAACCCTACTATCCCTACCAAGAACAGTGGTCTAATGTTTTGCCAGAATTATGCAAAATGCTTTTTGATTGTTATGAAAATTTCTCTCTGCATATGAAATTGGCCAAAACATTTATCCAAATATTGATGGTGGTTGTATTTAGGTACTTCAGCCTATATGTATAATTTAGACTGTGTTGGGTTACAAATATTTAAAAGTAATTTAAACATTTTTGCATTTTTTGTCCACCTTAAAAAAAAGGATGGTTGAAATAAATCTTGAAAGGTAATGACATCATGCCAATGATCAGTGCATCTAGACCTCTGACTGATACCGTATGTTATTGTAATTTTTCCTTGAAGATCAAATAGAACATGCCCATGACAACCCTCTGGATGAGATCACACTGGGTGAGGGTGATATGACACCAAGCCTGATCTCAGATGAAATGCCTCCAGAGAAGCCTATTACTCCAAAAACAATGAACTTAGAGGTCGACCAAGAGCCTGAGGTGAATGGTGAAGGAGAGAATGTAACCCTTGAGGAGGAAAAGAAGACAAAAAAGAAAGATGTGAAAAAAGAAAAACCAAAACGTAAGCTTTGTTTTATAATTAAGGGCCAAACTGATCCAATATCTAGCAGAAGGTTCTTGCTATATTCAGTTATTTATGAGCAGCTCTCTGAAATGTTTCAGGGCTGGAACAGACTGAGGAAGAGCTTGAAATTGACAGAGAAATGGAGAAGAGGGACAAAAAAATCAAGAAAAAGGACAAAGTCAAAGAATCTGTAGACGCACAGAAGAAGACCAAACAAGAACGTAAAAGTAACTATGAGAAACAAGTGCTTTTTATGCTCTGCACTGGAAACTTTAAGTTTTCTGGTTTTGTTCATGTAAAGATTTATTTTACAGAGAAGCATTTGCAAGATGAGGTAAAACCAGAGAACAAGAATGCAACACTAAAGAATGAACACAACGAAAGCGACAAAGAAGAAGAAGAAGAAGATCCTGAGAAGTCAGATCCTCCTTCACCCATGAAGAAAAAAAGCCTGGATACATGTCAGTGAAAATGTGGTCTAATATTCTGAACAATCTGCCATCATATAAAGCCAGTAAAGACTAATGTTTTCTGTTAAATCTCACAGCTAGGTGTCAAATAAGTGATGAGAGTAAAGAGGAGGAAATCCAAGAAGAATCCAAGCAGAGGAGGGAAAAAAAGACAAAAAAAGCTCCAGCTAATCTGGCATCATACAACTCCAACTCCAGGGAAACGTCATCCTCAGGCAGTGAACATAATGAAAGAGTGAGACTTTGAAAGTGGAATAATGCCGCCAAGAATAATTATGCATAGAATGAAATGGTTTTCTTTTTTCAGGTAACTTCTCCGATGTCTGTGGAGGACCTTGAGAAGTTTGCCCTCCGCCCCGCTCCAAGAGACGTTACAATCCAGTGCAGGGTCACCAGAGACAGAAGAGGCGTGGAAAAAGGACTCTACCCAACTTATTACCTCCACATGGAGAAAGAGGACGGCAAGAGGGTTAGTAGCTTGCACAGATCTACATTTAAACTTTAATAACTCTGATTTTAATGCAAACATTTTTTTTCGGGAGCTTTCCTATTTCTTAGAATCTTTTTGGTTTGTTTGTTTCTTATTGTTTCAAACTTATAGGTGTTTCTGATGGCAGGCAGAAAAAGAAAAAAGTGCAAAACGTCAAACTATCTTATTTCCACCGACCCGACAAATCTATCCAGGGATACCAACTGCTACATTGGAAAACTAAGGTACAACTTGATGTGTCTAAGACAAATCCTACTGAGTGCTGAAGCTGTTTTACCTCTCCTTATATTAATTTGTTTTGAAATAAGCACATTAGTGTATTAGCAATGTAATGCATCCAGGTTATTGTTGGGTAATACGTTTTTCATGGAAACAGCACCTATTGAAATTGGTCTGAAGTTGCTCATCATTGATTAAAAAAAGATGCCCGCTGTCTAAAATTGCAATAAAAAGGTGGATGGTTTATCTTCTATAAAGCATCTGAACGTCTGTTGGGTAATAATGCAAATAACTGTTGAAATGTAAACACCACTGATGAAATACTGACATACTTTTGAGAAAATTCAAATCCAGGCCTGTTATCTGATTTTTTAGTATTCAGCAAAAAACAATGCCTTGTAATATACAGCAGGTCTGACCTACTGCACCCCTGTTTTTGTGGGGTTTTAATGAGTAAATGAACTTGTCTTTACAAGGATATGAAATAATCTAAATGTATGTCAAAACCACATTTTGCAGACTCAATAGCATAGCTGAAGTAAGAGGAAGAAGCCAGTGGTGTACCTCAAGTATTTTGATTTCATACAAAACGTAAAACCACAGTTTGCAGAGGGTGTACTCTCTTTGTTTTTGTTTTTTTTTTCTTTTCCATTGAAAGCACAGTTGAGTCACTGCTACGGTGTTTAGCTGTGATTTGATCTTGAACTAAGCAGCTGAAAACCACTGATGCCAGTGACCTTGAGTTTTGACTTTTTTTTATTCCATAGAAAGCGCTTCTAGCCCTGTTCTTCTGACTTTTTTAGTAACTCTTTCCAGTGATCTTAATTTCTACAGGGTAATCAAAACACTGTGATAAGAGAGCAAGGTGTTTTACATCCTGGAAAGGCCACCAAGTTAAAACTTAGACTGTCACTTCTGGTCCTTGGGTAAGATTCAACCCAAAAATGGTTCACTAGATATCACTCAGTCGGGATAAAACACAGAGGGAAGTGTTCCCCAATAAGAGACCATCAAGAGAGTTACATCTATAACTTATAGCCAGTTTCCACAGATGGCAATGTTCTACTTAAGACGTCTCTACTTGTTTAAATGGACTCCTTCCTCTCCACTGCTCAGAATGAGGGACTCTAGGGCAATAATTTACAAAGTTCGGATCTTGACCCAATTAGGGCCCTTAAATCAGTCAGTATGGGGTCTTCAGATCCACCTCACTAATCATGAAAGCACTATTGACTAAACTAGCGACTTAGCTTCTTGATGGGGTTTGTTAAATGTTGATACACCCATGGTTAATTGATTTTGTAGAAATATTGGTGTACTTTTCCAATAGTTTGGAGATGGTGCTCTTGTACCACTGTGTAGGCTGAAATGTTTGGGAACCTCAGCTCTAGGCTGTATACAATACATGATTGTGAATTAGATATTTTAGTCTCATAAAGTGCTTTTAAATGACATTTGTTTTAGACTGGTGTTAGATAAATTAAACAGAGTTAAAAAGTACTTAGGTCTTTACTATCCTGGTGTTCTCTTGTTAGAGCCATAGTGTTTATATCTTCTCTAAAATGACAAATTCATAAGAGATGAGATCTAAATCTAATTTGTTCTTGCAAATGAAACCAAGCTGTAAGCATCAAACCCACAAATATTATTGGTATGCCTCTATTTAATAGACACTTTATTTTCCAACTAATTTGTCTTTGGATGTATCTCACAGTAACATTAAAGAACACAAATAAAACATATGTAATCGCCTAAATACTAAACCTATTGGCCAATAGTACATAAACCGTTCGGCTATCCTATGGAGATTACAGGCCTAGATTTGCTTTTGCACATATTCAGTGTTCTAAATTTTAGGACTTTAATTTTTATTTGCCTCAGGTCCAATGTTCTGGGCACAAAGTTTACAGTCTACGATGGAGGTGAAAACCCAGAGAAAAAACCCTTCATTAAAGAGTGTGAGTCAGTGCGGCAAGAACTGGCAGCTATTTGCTATGTGAGTCTTTGACACACACACAAACCCATACAACTTCACAAGTTGTAAAAAATTTTAAAAATATCTAGCTTATTCTGTTCCAGGAGACAAACGTTTTGGGTTTCAAGGGTCCAAGGAAAATGACTGTGATCATCCCCGGTATGCTGGAGAACGATGAAAGAGTCTCCATTCGGCCCAAAAATGTGAGTCTATGTTAAAAAATTCCTACTGTGTACAAAACTGATCTTTAAGTTGGCTGGGAAAAAACAACATTTAAACTGAAGTGACATTCATGTTTATTTCAGGAGCTTGAGACTCTACTGGTCCGCCATGCCAATGGAAACACTGACCAACTGGTCACTCTGATAAACAAATCCCCAAGCTGGAATGAGCAGACGCAGTCCTATGTGCTGAACTTCCACGGACGCGTAACGCAGGCCTCTGTGAAAAATTTCCAGATCATCCATCCAGACAACGGTAAAAAAGATCGTATTTCTTTCTTGTTGACAAAACAGCTTAATCTTTTTGATCCAAATCATCAGGAGCCTTTTTATACATCTTGCAGATGATTACATTGTGATGCAGTTTGGCCGTGTGGCAGAGGATGTTTTCTCCATGGATTACAGCTTTCCCATGTGTGCCGTTCAAGCCTTTGCCATCACACTCTCGTCCTTTGATGGCAAACTGGCCTGTGAGTGACCTTGTCCAAGGTGCTTCTCTGGAAGTATAAACCACACCAAAATTTGCTTGTTGAAACTGAAGCTGCAACCATTATTTAACACTGGATTATGTTTAAGGATGTCTATTATACATGCAACCTTCATCTCATTTTTTTAAGCCCTGTAATTGTTTTTTTTTTCCTTACATTTTTTCTTATTTCAATTGAAATATGATACAGTTTTCTTTTTATGGCACTACATGATATGACAATAATTATTGGCTATTCTATGCTTATAATAACAATGAATAAATCTCCAAAAATACAGTTTGGGCCTATGTTGCCAAAGTAAGAAAAAAAAAGGAATGTTAGAACTGTAAATATACAGTCATATGTTTATATTACTAGTTTTTTTTATGTATTTATTACTGTTTTCAAGGCTGCAATTTTAAATATGAAATTGTCTAGAGCTGTTCTAAATGAAATTTCTTTTTATATACACTTGTGTATAAAAAATGGCAAAATAAATCTGTCTAAGTCATAAGTAATTATTGGCTTTTATATACTTATAATAACAATGAAAAATCTAAAAGTAAGAGTTGTAGTATGATCCAGATGAGGTTATCTGTGTATCCTACAAGTTTGAAGGCACTTCAATGATCTATAGTGTAGTCATTGCTCATTTTGTTCTTATTCTAATAATAGAATACGAGTGCCATTTGTCATTTAGGCTTTTGGAAATTCCTCAGAAAATTATTATTTTCAAATCCAATAAATGTGATAATAATCCACCTCTCCTAGGTGACGCTTTTGAATATTTCTCTCTGATTATTTTGTAAATTGCAGACGGAGCATTTGCGGAGGGGCAAGCTCTGCATAGGGTCCAATGTAAGTCTCCCAGCGTGATAGGAGACTTGCTTTTAGGAAACTACAGTTGTAGTTTACTGTCTGCCTTGCTGTGGTTGTGGAGAGGTGTCTGTTTTGTAGAATAAATCATCCACAGACGAGTTATTAATCCGGGAAAGCCGAATCTGTAAATATATTGCCAACTTTATGGCAGTCTCACAATGCTGTCTGCATGGCTGCAGCGAAAGAGAGAGAGAGAGAGGAGAGATAGCTTGAGTTATATTTCCCCCCAAATAATTTATATTATTGTATAAATGGTCATTATTGTATAAATACTGTTGCTTTCTACAGCTTTCCAGCTCATGCAGCTATTTTCATTGTACAGATCAGTTGTCGTCTGATCGCTGCGCTGGTAGCTTCGCTGAAATCATTGCGATGTTGGCGACACTGATGACATAGACCTAGTTATATTTAATTACAAATATGATTTCCATTTCTTAACTTAAATCACACTCTACACCAATAATTGTGTAAATTCCTAGAATTGTTAGGAAAAGTAAGTTCCTGCATTGCCATGGTTGCTAGAACACTAATGACAATCAGTGTTCTAAGTGGGCGTGGCTTAGTTTAGACCAACCCCCTTCTTACTTTGTCATTGGTATTCCAGAACACTGATGACATCATCATCTCCCTAATGTAATCTAAAGCCACACAGTGAGGGCATATTCAGTTGCTTCTAGCCCAGTCAAGAGGTAACATTTACTTGGAGAGAAACAATTTCTCAGTGAAGTTAGTTTACAGTTAGTTCAGATAACAAGTTAACATGGCATTTCTCATTGGTTTTACTGTTGGAGCCCTTGCTACTAAGGGAATGAAAGAGCTATTTTCTTACTTCTGTGAAGAAAATGTAATGCCTGACCATAGTTCCCAGGATGAGCGAATCAACTTTCAATGCCCAGGGAATGTTTTGACCACGTGGGATGTTGAACCCAGCAGGAAAAGTGACAAAGGTAACTTTAAAAAGACAAAAAATATGAGTAAAAGATCACTTCAAAATACAATCAGGAAAAAGATGGAACTTGATGCAAATTTAGAAAAAATACAACACAGAAATGATTACTCCAGAGAAGAGGATGGTAAAGCAAATAAATTGGTGTACCCAGATTTCACCCCAAATGAAGATATAGCAGGGCACAAAATGAAAAGTCAAGGTACTTTTGAAGAACCTCTAAAGGAAATCAAGATAAAGGAGGAATTTGATGCTTGTTTAGGTAAAATACCAAACCAGATAGATACTTCCTTCAAAGAGGTTGAAACAAATCAATGTGTCTACCCAGATTTAACCCTGAATGAAGGTAGAGCAGAGCAAGGTACTTCTGAAGACCCTGAAAAGGAAATCAAGATGAAGGAGGAATTTGATGCTTGTTTAGGTAAAATACTAAACCAGGTAGATACTTCCTCCAAAGAGGTTGAAACAAATCAATGTGTCTACCCAGATTTAGCCCTGAATGAAGGTAGAGCAGAGCAAGGTATTTCTGTAGGCCCGCAAAAGGAACTCAAGATAAAGGAGGAATTTGACGCTTGTTTTGGTACAATACTAAACCAGGTAGATGAATTATTCAAAGAGTTTGAAACAAATCAACATGTCTTCCCAGATTTAACCCTGAATGAAGGTAGAGCAGAGCAAGGTACTTCTGAAGACGCTCAAAATGAAATCAAGATAAAGGAGGAATTTGATGCATTGTTAGGTACAATACTAAACCAGGTAGATACTTCCTTCAAAGAGGTTGAAACAAATCAATTTGTCTACCCAGATTTAACCCTGAATGAAGGTAGAGCAAAGCTAGGTACTTCTGAAGGCCCGCAAAAGGAACTCAAGATAAAGGAAGAAGTTAACCCTTGTTTAGTAAGCTGATGAAGATTCTCAGTCATCCAGGAATGACGCTTGTTTAGGTACAATACTAAACCAGGTAGATAATTTCTTCAAAGAGGTTGAAACAAATTAACATGTCTTCCCAGATCTGGACACAAATAGAATTACAATGGAGGACCGAACCTAAAGACAACAAACATTTAAAGATGCTCAAAATAATAATATGATGGAAGAACTTGCCTTCTCTTTAGATAACATACTAAACAGCTTAGTTAATTCCTCTGAAGAAGATGGTAAAACAAATTCTTTGGTCTACGCAGAATTTGACCTAAATGGAGTTCAGAAGCCACTCCATCTTAAAAAGAATAGAGATCCTTAACCGCACCGATGTTATTGCTTTTCATCTGGAACGATCAAAAAAACATCCTGTCCTGTCCTCTGTCATTTGTTCTAACTCTTTCCGTTTTTACACCTATCTGATGTGTGGACAGTTGATATTTAGGGCGGAAGATGAAAATGTAACATTTGAAACTATAGACTGTGCACCCGATATTTGTCACAATGGCATGTTCTACATCTATGAGAAATACACAGAAGGAGAAGACGAATTTAGCGTTGGAGTCAAAGCTACCAACAAAACCTACAACCTCAAAAGCTCAGCTTATTTGCCTATGATTACAACAAGAAATTGAGAGATAAAAAAATGAAAAAATAATAAAAAATTACAATAAAAAAAACAAAAAACACCAAAAAAACATAAAACAAAAAAAAAACACACAAAAAAAACAAAAAACACAAAATAAAACAAAAAAACACAAAAAAAACAAAACACACAAAATACAATAAAGGAAAAACAAAAAAAAAATAACTAAAAAAACACACAAACACTCACACACACACGCACACACACAAACACACACAACACACACACACACAAACACCACCCCTCCTTGAACCGCCACCTTACCGTGGTGGTGGGGTTTCAGTGCCTGGATGATCCCAGAGGCTATGTTATTAGGGGCTTTAAAGCCCCTGGTAGGGTCTCCCAAGGTAAACAGACTCTGGGTAACGGGTCAGACAAAGAGCGGTTCAAAAGCCTTCATGACGATTAGGAGAATCAGTGTATTCTTAAAAACAAAATCATAACCCTCCTAATATCCCTCTATTATGGCAGTTTTGTTTGTTCTAATTAAAGATAAAAAGAAATTTGTTTTTAAAGTTACGACAAAAAAAGAATATAAAATATAGACGCAAAACATAAAACCAGTAAAAACAATAACCCTATTGAGGAAATATTGAAAAAATCTGTTCCTCTTCTTTTTACTGGAAAATAATTGAAGAAATAGAGAAAAAATATTAAATATTGGTTCAACGCAGTAATCTGTTGCCATCATTTTACTCAGGGCAACAGCTTCTTTGCTCTTTGAACTGGAGAAGCGATGGTATATACAGGAAATCACCTCAGAATTTACTCTGGATTGCCACTAACCCTGCTTTGTGAAATGCGGCCCATGTAATTATTACGCAAGTTGTAGTTGTGAGTAGGGCTGACACTAATGGTTATTTTGCCAATCAATTCATCTGTCAATTATTTTTTCCATTAATTGTTTAATAATCAGATAGCCAAAGGGTAATTTACATTTTTTTTCCAAAATTAAACCAGGTGGAACTAAAACTTTTCCACTTGAGGAATTCTGGATCGAGCATAATGACAGATAAAAAAAAGTTTTGTTTATCCTAAATGCAAAACGTTAAAATGTTTTTTTTTTTTTTACAATTTCGGTATTATCACATCTCTATCTGGGTCGCTCTGTCAGCTAAAGGCATGTTTTAGAGTCTCTATACTCCAATTAAAAATGAATTAATTACTGAATTAGTTGATGATTATTTCAATAATTGATTAATCATGATGAATCTGATTGTTTCAGCACTAGTTGTAAGAAAAAAAAAATGTACAGCTCTCTTGGTGAATCCAAATTTTTATTAACCTCTCAAACCGGAATATTTAAGAAAGTAAAAGTGAGATTTTGGCTTTCTTAGTACAAAAGCTATGCGTGTATGTCCGATTATGGGGCAGAATTTTAAAAGGCAGATTAGACTTCTGCATCAGACATTCATCAAATGTTGCTTGGGTCTGGTTGAAAAGCAGTTTTGCTCTGTATGCTTCTGCACCCTCGGTCTGGAATTTCCAGGGACACACATCAGTTTCCCACCAAAGCTCTAGCCTATTCGAGAACTCACGAGAACTTTGGCGGCGCCCATGGGAGTGTTTATCTTCCAAAACACAATGGCGCGGCGTCTGCAAGATATCACGGTCAAGTAGATGCATCTAGGTTGCTAGACATTGAAGAGGAACATTCACTTAATCAATATAATTATTGACTATTTAGACATTTATTGGTTAACTCAGTATTAAAACCTAATGAAAAGGGTAGCTTTTAAACAATGATTGAAATTTTCACAGAAAGGAAATACCCTATATAAACTGAGTTGTATGCAAAATTATTGCCCTGAACCATTTAACCTCTTAACATCCACCTCATTTTGGGTAATTCTCGCCTATTTTGCATACCCAGATTGAAAAGCAAATAACTTAGGAACTGTGAGCCCAAATTATATGTGCAATACATTATTTGAAAGCTAACACCCTCTAGTTTCTGAATATATAAATTGAAAATTTGAGCGAAAATTGGGAGAGTAGAACAAAGACCAACCTACATTAACCTGCATACTTTGAGTCAACATAACTCAAAGTTGTTTTTTATATTATTGAAAATTATAGGTCTTTTTTGAACAGCAGTAATAAAGACATTCTTGAGAAAAAGCAAGTTTTATGGTATTATATTATGTCAAACACAAATGCAGAAAATTTCAGACCTCTAGCTATAATAGTTCCAGAGCTGTGGGGTTTTGAGCTTTTGGTGTCAGCTTGGAGCCGCGGGCAATGGCTCCACCTGCTGGTAAAAATTTTACCGGTGGAATTTTATGCATTCTGAATTATTACCCCCACTTAAAGGGGAGCGCCGTTTTTTTTTTTTTTTTACATTGGGCCCTTGATTTTACGTTATTACATTGTGCTCTACTCACCCATACAGTATGAGTTTTGTGTCATTTGGAGCTGTTCTGAAGATATTCGGTTTGGTTATATCCAAGTAACGTCTTCCTATGGGCAAAGAATTGAAGGCACAGACTAAACTGTTCATAATTTATTCTTTATGGTACGCCAGCATTCATAACATGTAGTGGAATCACTGTCCCGCAGACATCCACGGTTATATATTTTATATTTATGTTTTTTCAAAACAAAGCGGAGTGTGTATGACGTCTTCCGATTACGCCAGCTATCATTCATTCATCCTGTTCGCTGAACTGCTGCTAGTTTTACTCACATGCCTGGAAGATGTGCTACTACCACAGATGATCTCGTTCTCGAAATGGAATTGAAGGATTCATATTAGCAAGCCGAATGAATATAAGGGGTAGAGCGTAGCCACCTGTGGCCCGGGCTGCCTGTTACATCTCCAGTCCGGCACGCAGTTAAAACATGAATCAATTTGAATTTTCCTTGCTTTTGTAACAACTGAAGTCAGTCTATCTAACTACACTAAGAGCTGTAGGAACCTATGGAACACAGCTTATCTGACAACATGAAGTAGGTCAAGCGATTTGGCCGGCAAGTATTACTCCAAAAGCACAATAAGGGATCATCCAGGAGGTCTAAACACAGGCAAGAATAGGAGGAATAATCTGACTCAGTTAAAGGAAAAGTCCGGTCACATTCAGAATACAAACTTCTGAAAGTACTTTTAGTATGAAAATATTACATACTTTTAATAAATAAGTGTTTTTAATTAAGAGTAATTTCATTTGACTGTTCTTTACCAGAGGCATCTATGTTTGTTAAAGAGGACTGCTGCCACCTACTGCTTTGTGAAGTCACGGTGCGGTATCGGCTGTGCTGGCGTTTGTCACAACGCACTATTATCTATCATGGCGATGACCAGTGCACTATGTAAAGCAGAGAGTAACGGATAAATTAGGTGTTCTTTCTCTGGCCAGATGCCCCAAGACCATAAAGTTCTGAGACGCTGATTGGCCATTAAATTCACCTAGCAATAGTACATGATTGACAGATTCTCTGCAAATGTGGGTCTGTCTGATCAGCGCCCCAAGACAGAGACGGTAGGAGTCTGTTTGTGGAAATCCACAAATGAATGACAGTAGGTAGGGAAATGTAGTTTATATAATTTGTTTTGCTTATAGGTACACACTCTAGAGAGTAAAACTGACATTTATGAGTTAATTTCTAAAAATATATTTTACGTTTCTCTCTTCTTATCAGGGAGGGCGGTGCCCCAGCGCCCCCTATGGGCCGGCCGCCACTGCACTGGACTTTGTTTCCAAGTGAGAAGACGTTTTGCTACCCGTCCAGGAAGCTTTTCTAATTAAAGTAGTCAGGAATAGCGTTGAGTTCAAGGTTTTATAGCCCATCAAAACCTTGTTTTTGAGCCCCCTTTCAGAGACTTAGACGGGTATTGGGACAGCACAGGCTAACAAAAGAAGCCAAACAACCCCCATTCCAAAGGGTAGGACCCATTTGTCAGAGTAAATTTGAATGTTTTCAAAATAAAATCAAGGTTTTAATGGGCTACTGTATAAAATCTCGAACTCAACGCTATTTTGCACACTTTGAATTGGAAAAAGCTTCCTGGATGGGAAGCAAAACGTCTTCTAACTTGGAAACAAAGTCCAGTGGATTGTTTTTTGTTTGTTTTTTTTTTACTTTTTTTGGAACTCTTTCTGAGAATCAGCTCTCACTGCATCAGTCAAGATATAAACCATCCCACAGCGTTTATTCCTGTTTAATCTTTATTTTAGATGTAGATCTCAGTATGTCTTTAATGAGACATCCCAATTGTTTGCAGGATTTGAGCAATTAAAATATTTCTGTTCTTCAATTGGAAACCTGATATGAGAAAAGAAAAATCTGATTGACAACTGAGCCTAGAAAGATTATTAAAACATTTTGTTAAGTAGAAAAATAATAAAACAGTTTATCTTTGTGTCTGTTTATTTTAAAATAAAGTCTTTGATCTTTATGTGTAAATTGGGTGTTTTTTTTTTCTTAAGCAGAGGCTGTACACCTGAAATCAGCAGTAGAAGAAGCCTTCAGGATGTGGCATTGCTTTATATCCCCTATATTCCTGGTTCAATTCCTGGTCCAGGGACTTTCTGCATGGAGTTTGCATGTTCTCCCTCTGCATAAATGGGTTCTCTCTGGTTACTCTGGCTTGCTCCCATAGTCCAAAAACTTGATGATCAGGGAAATTGTCTGCTCTAAAGTTCTCCTTAGGTTTGAGTGTGTGTGTGAATGGTTGTAGGTGTGCCCCACCTCTTGCCCATTGACAGCCGGAGATAGGCACAAGCGACCCCAGCAGCTGTGATGGAAATATGGATGGAATGGAATCTTCATTGCTTAAAAGCCTATACTGTGAGCCATGTCTCTTGGTGTTAACAGATGTTCAACCAGTGTAGCATCTACAAAAGGTCCAAATTTGACCTGAACTTCCCCAGTAGTGACCTTAATGTCTCTATAATTGGGAACAATGATCTGTAAACCTGATTCGTATAACCAAAGTACAAAACTGTAAATGCTTTTTTTGATAAGAGGTAAAACATCTTCCTGAAACAAGGTAAGTGTAGTTACCATCTATTTGGCACAAATACTGTAAAACTGTTTTTTTCAATCACAAAGAGGACTCTTGATATGAGAATCTAATGATAAAGTTGCATATGGTTATTTACAGACATCTGACTCTCTGGGGTGCAAGTGAGTAGACAGTTTTTTTTTGTTTTGTTTTTTTATGTACCATAATGGCCTTTTAAGAATTTTTAGGTTTTTCAGGTTTTGCACCAGCATCTATTCATTAGCTGTTGTTGAAGGCCAGAGAACACAGAATAGTTCTGGTTGTCCGTCTGGAGAAAGATAAAGGGCACGGGTTTAATGAGTCGACTGTGTGAGCTGTTGTTGGGCCGACGTCTATCTGGCCTTGGGCAGCTGTAAGTGGCATCTATGAACCAGTCCTATTGTTTATCCCATTCATTCACTGACACAGAGATACACACAAATGTGGTAGCTAGTAACATTGGCTTGCATATACAATGCAACAGGGTGTTTAATAACTGAGATGTCCTAGTCAATAAGATTTAATTGCTTTACAAAAGTATTTGTAGCTCTTTATGTTTTTTATGCCAAAGACCAACACAACACATGTAGCGCATTTGTGAAGGAGTAGAGACAATGGAAAAAACCCATCGTTACATATTTCTGTCTCTTCTAATTTCATATTTCACTGTGGAGAGATTGTACAGTATTAAGAGTGATGTGCAGCATTTGTTTTCAGTTTTAGGCTCATCTGACCAAATCCTGAATATGTTTGCTGCATACTTTATTTGGTTTCTGACAAATTATAAACCTTTCCTACCTCTTTCTTACCCTTTCTGATACAGAACAGATTTCTGGATGGACGACTGGCATGTGTCTTGTATTTTTTACCTGAGTTGTGGATCTCTTTCAGAGTTAACATTGACATCATGCCTGCTACTCTAATCTGTAATAATGCTCTCATCGCCAGGGCTATCCGTTTAGGTGGATGGTTGTCTTGTTAGATTTGGACTTGGGAAATGCTTCTCCATTTTCAGATCTCTGATATATCCAAAGCTTGGTTCCTTAGACTTTGCAATTGAGTTTGTTAACAAATGCTTTTCTAAAAACCTCTGTGGTCTTTACAGAATAGCTGCATTTATACTAAGATCAAATACACACTGGAAACACTGTTTAATAATTAGCTCGCTTCCGAAAATAATTTGTTTCAACACACTTTATTTAGTCATATTAAAACAAAAAAGGCTTAATAAAAGCACTTGCTATACTCTTCAGATTTGAAAGAACATTTGTTTTGTTATTTCGCGACACAGTTAAGCATCAGTATGTGTTAATGTACCAAATCAATACAAGTAAAAACACTAAAGTTCAGGATTTAAATATGACAAAATGTGAGAAAACAAAACATATACACATTTTTAGGCATTAAATGCTGCAGTGGCTTGAATGTATGGTCTGACTCTGAATATGTGGATAAACCCAACCAACAAAAAAAAGTCTTCCTTTTTTTAGGGATTTTTGCACTCACCTGATGTCTGATCCACTCTCAGCGCACAAGAAAGGGGGTGTCTTTTTTCCCTTTCCTTTGCATTTGTGACTCCATTTTTCAAAAAGCACAAATGCATGAACATACCTTTCCACATTTCAGAATTTGTATTGTTTTATGCACTTTATGGTTTTAGTAGATCCTCTCTGTGTGCATAATAGCAACAGAGTGCGTCTTGCAGATTTGTTGCTGAGACGTGACCCACCTCCTGAGAAGTACACACTGTGGGGGCACGCAGATACAACGCATTCATTGCTAATTTTCACATAACTGTAACTAGTAGTGAAAAATGAAGACTGTGCTAAACTCACCGTTTTGTTCTCTGACAGAGTCTGTTTGTACATGTGTGTTTTTCCTGGATTGTCTCTGTCTTCTTTATCTCATTCTCCCCATGCCTCTTCCCCCCTTCTCCTGTCCTCCTCCTCTCAGATCCTTCTTCCTCGCCACGATTTCACAGACCTCCACTTACTCTATTGTGCAAAGAAACAAAAAAGAAGAAGCAGGAGAATAAAGAAACACAATTGCCTTGTCCTCTCTCTCATCTTAATAAGCAGCTCCAAGTTTGATAATTACACGTTCAGAGCGCCGCATGAGTTTCTATGCAGTGTTCACATCAGAGAGAGAGAGCCATTGACTCCGCTGTTGAGGGGAGCCACTATTAGGAATGACTGACAACTGTCTCCCCCCCGCCACTGCTACCTCCCTTCTTTCTTTGGTCCGTGGAGGCTGTAAAAGTGAGAACAGATCCGATCAGTTTCATCTCCTCGTCAGGGAACGTGTCCCTGAACGTCACCATGTAACCACCAGAGCAGCCAGCAGACCACATACGTTGCAAGGCCCCATAATCCATTCCATAACCCATCGCATGTGCTGCCGATTAACAGGGTTCCTGCGGAGCAAACGCCAAGGAGACGGCCAGGCTGAGGGTTTTCTTCTGCGGCAGAAGCCAATCTGTTTAGGATTAAGAGAATAACTGGTGTGGCTGACACTGGGGCATCCAACAAGAAGAAACAGGGATGAAGAGAGGGAGAAAAAAAGGAAGAAGCGTAGGGAATGTGATGACAGGGAGTTGATTGTGTTTTGGCAGAGGTCTGGTTGTTGGTGATGCTTGGAGTCTGTTACTGTTGATTGTCTGGGGAATGCATTGCTGCACGTATGGAAAGGATCTTCTTTTCTGACCCTGTGAAATCCAACTTTTCCCGATCATTACAACTTCCGTTCATTCATATGTGCAAATTGTTGGGAGTTTTAGCATTTCATCTTATCTAAGATCAACAAAATAAAGGCAACAGTGTTCTTCTTGTGTCTCCAGTCTGTTTGAAGCAGAGACACACCTTATCTGTCTCCTCTGAACAGAGAGGCCTTCTTTTGTGAACCAACAGCTCACTCAGCCATTATGATGGCAATCTTAGATGATTAAAGACCCGTGGAACAAACTGGGCTACCTGTTGCCATGATGTCATGTCTGGTCTAGAGCAACTGCAATGATTAAGATTTAGGGCCACTGGAGCTGTTTGTGGAAAAATATCAATTAGTTGCTTGCTAAAGGGAGGCAGTTTATTTTTTGGATGTGAAGTTTGCACTTTTAATGATCATTAAGGAGAATGTGTGGCTGCAAAAGCTGACGCTTTTCAGTTGTTAATGTATAAGAAACAGCTGTTTCTTGAAACCGCCCTTGTGCTAAGACTTTAAGAAGCCAATTATGAGTCTTGGACTGGATTTAGATTTTAGAGAGTACATCGCCATAATAATCAAAACCGCAAAGTCCTAAAATGAGTCGTGTTAACTCTTAATCTATTTAGCATAAAATGCTTGCAAAAGTATTCATACTGGAACTTTTTTTTTTATAAATGCATGTGCAATTCATGTGATAAAACAACAAGTGACACATTCTTGTAAATGGAAAAGAAAATTATCCAAGGTTTTCAAATTGTTTTTAGAAATTAAAGTCTAAAAAGTTTGGTCTGCATTGGATTACAGCCCCTGGAAGATGCTCCTTGCTTTTTGACAGTAGGATTAGAAACATTTACACCTAGATAAAAAGAAAGAAAGTGTTTTTAAGCAAAATGGTGCAATATTTAAGTCCAGCAATAGTGTTCTTGGTTAAGCTGCATGAAGTTTCTCTTAAACCCATTAAACAATCCCATGCAGGAGTCTTTTTTTCCCAACATGTGGTGAATTACGCAGCAAAGAACTGTAATCTGCAGCGCTTATTTTGGGTGATATAGAAACTCTCCTTCTCTGTATCCAGATATGCAGTAATGGTGAACTGCCATAAAAGGGATATTGCTCTGGAATTATAATTCTGCTTCTCAAAAAAACAAAAAATGCTTCATTAAGGATATGTCTCAAACATTGTTATATCTTGACAGTCAATCTATGTCTAGACTTGCTCCTTTGATGTTTAACAAATGTTCTGTATATTTATGAAGGGAAATATGCTAAATGTTCTGCATCTAGTATTTTGTTCATGTCACAGATACAATTCTAGCTGTTAGAAGATTCACTTTCGATGCACTGTAAAGTTTGCACAGTGTTTTTTACATGCAACCCTTTAGTGGATCATGTAAGGTCTCTGCAAAGTAACATCAGCTAAAAGTATTACAATTACACTAAAGTGCAAGTTTTACAATTAAAGTAACTTAGCTCATCATTTTATTTTTATGGCCCACAACTTTAGTAGTGCTCAGTTCAATGCCTCCATCAGCAAAAATGAAAATAAACTCACTAGTAAACACTGCAGCGGGTTAGCTCCTAAAGAGTCAAATACTTCTCACATGAGTCATCCAAGACAAAAGCAGTATTCAAAGAAGATTAAGAGTAGCTCTAGTTTGAGAAACCTGATTTTGACATAGCTGAGCAAAATTGATGTAGTCAAATCCAGCCATCACTGTTAAAATTTCCTTAGGAATAGGAGACGAACTGGTCATATTATACCAGGTCATACAAACCTACTGACTATTTTCTCCAATCTAGCATAACAAGTGAGAAATTTAAAACCTGAAAAATTTAAAATAATATCCCATTAATTAACCAACATTTTAAGCTCATTAGAAAAGTGTGATCCTCAACTGAAGTCCCATTCAAATTGTTTGCAAGAGTGTACTTACTTGGATGTAAAATAATTGCCATCATGGCTTTGTCAAGCTGCTGCCTACCTCTGTGAAGCAGGAAAAAGAATAATTCAAAGTGAATCCAGTAGAAATTTTTATTGCCTACCTGGACTGGATGACAATAGTTGAATAAACTTTTGGCTCTCAAAATGGTATCTGTGTCCTATTTGTCGGTACTCGCCGATACCAATACCATCATTTTAGTGTGGTATCGGGGCCCTGCCCGATACTGGTATTGGTATCGGTGCAACACTAGTACATACACCTACAGTTATTTAAATGTAGTGTCAAAATAGCTAAAACTGTCATGGTTCTGCCCTTTTTTTTTTACTTCTTTTTAGTTTCTTTTTGAGTTTTTAGTTATTTCTGCCATTCTATTTTGTTGGTTACATTTTTTTTCCATTTTTCTTTTATATTTAAGGAGTTTCGGATTTTTTTAGATTCTCGTTACCTCTATCCACACCTGCTCCCTTTTAGCTGATTAGCCCATTCATTGTTCTGTCCCCAATATATACACCTTCTTTGCAGTCCCTCATTTGTGGATTCTCTTCATTGTTTCGCTCCTCATGTATGTTTCTCCCTGGTGACTACTGGTTTTGGTTCACTGTTTATTGTTCCGGGATTTGTGTTTCTGTTGCCATCTACACCACATTGAATCTGCAAGAACTCATCTCTGCATTTGAGTCCTTAACTAACTTCCACCAAACCTGACAAAAGCAAAGGTAAACTGGTTTCCTAGTTTGCATAAATTTGTATATTTAAGTCACTAAACTTAAGCTGTTAATTTCTTAACTTATGTCTTTTTGAGAACTGTAAATTAAAGACTCTCCACCTATTGGTCAAATAGTAAAAAGCTAAACATGTCAGAGTTTATGGTTTGGGAATAGACTGAAGCACTGACTTGACCTTGGGAGTCACATGATTAATTTAAGGGTTTTAATTTGAATAAAAGTTTAAGAGCTGCAGTGTAACAAACCTAGAACAGAATGTGGAACATTAGCAGAAAGAGCAGGTGGCAATACAGGAAATAAACAAGCAGAATAACAGACATGAGAAGGTTCCAGCAAAGAACGATGAGCAACAGAGACATGTGGATAATGATATAGGAGGCTGGTATGTTATTCAGGAGACTATTGAAGTGTGGGACAGAAAATAAAAAAGGAGGGAGATTAATATTCACGCTAACGCACAAGCAAACACTTAAGGGAAGCTTTCAAATACTACCCTGAGGGAATAAAGTTAAATGCACAAGAAGTTGTATAAAGAAATAAACTATGTAACAGACAAAGAAACACAAAAACAAACAAAACAAACCACAGGAAGAAGAGGAGAAAACAAACACGGGTGAAAATCAAAACCTAACAGGGTTTGAACTTAAAAGAGAATTTCCTCACAGCATTTCTGGGCTGTTCCGCATTCCAGCTCCTGTCTTTCCACTACATTGAGCAGGAAATGGTTCCAAAGGAACCAGTCAAAGACAATGGGAGATACTTCTGTGTCCACTCTCTGTTCTCTGAGATGCCCTCATCTGTTAAATCACATTAGTTCTTTGTCACTGGTACCACTCAGGAGGTCCACCACAGCCATCCAAGATCTTCCATCATTTTTTTTACAAAGCCATACATTCAGGATCACAACCTCAATAGTTAAGCCTCATCGAAGAATAATCACCAAAATCAAGAGAGTCTCTATTTGTTTTATTCAGGTCTTCATCTTTTTCTTTTAGTTGATTTCTCCCCCACCTCCTAGTTAGCTGAGCCCTGGCTATGTTAGCATGCAAGGTGGATCCTTTTTTGGTCGTGGCCTAACAATACTGGAAGAGTCACCAGTCAACCTAATTCCAGTTTTGTAAGGCAAATGCACAGCAACAACAAACCAGAAATGACAGACTGTGGCTCTTTGAGCTTGATTTTAAGAAAATAAAAGTGTGATAAAAGGAAAATACTAAGGCTTATAATACAGTGATTCATGAGCCTGAAACTTGGGTAGAAAACACAGCCACCTTTCCCCCTCTGTGGTGTTAGTTTTGGCTTCCATTAGGATCTATGTCATTGGGGTTGTGTGCAAAACTTAGTTAATAAAGACTAGCTCAAACCAGGCGTTAAAATGCAGGCCTTATTTATTAGGCTGCATTGAGTAATGTGTGCATTTCAGAGTAATAAATTTTATTTTGGTATGATTAAAAAAAATATTCTGTAGCCATTTAATGTCGCCTTGGAGTTCTTAGATTGGAAGATATTTTAATATTTTTCATGTAAACCCATTTGAGGTTTTGCTCCTTCTAGGCTCTCACAGAAGATATATCATTCCCCTTAAACTGCTTATTTGTCAGAGTTAAGTAGACAGAGCGTTGCTTGTTGTGTGCTTTTTGCATAAACCACTTTTTAATACACCAGGGGCAAAACAGTACTTCACTGGAATCAAAGCTACCTGTAAAAAACATGTATGGCAGATTTTTTAGCAGGTTGTGAAGCCCTTCTTAGGGTTGGAATAAAGCCTAGTAAGTCTCATTGACAAGGGGAAGTAATGTTACAGTAACTTTTATTGTGATTGAAGGCAGCTTTACTGTGCAGATGTTGATAGATGCTAAATGAGTGTTAAAATGATATATATAGCTCCCATTAAAATTTCTCTTTATCACTGGAGAAGAAATAAAAATAAACATATATTTCTTTTTGATACAGTTGCCAAACTCAAACAGAACCCTACTTTAGCTCTGTTGTACCGTCCACTGACCCTGCTCTCAGGAATAATGAATCAAGGGGATTCTATTAAAAATAAGAATTATTCTGTAAAAAATACAGTTGTTGACAAAAAGATAAAGTGAAACAGGATTAACTATAAAACCTGTTTTGTG